ATCTCTACTCTTTTCTCTGCATTTCAATATGTTGAATATTGTGTTTATTGTTTTTCTTCATGTTTGTGTTGATTTAGTTATGAACTAACCCATTTTGGGTTAGGGTTTTGATGTAACTTGGATTTCTATGGGTTAATCAATTGATTATTGTTATTTTGATATTCTATTGCATAGATTGTGTGGTTATTCCGTTTTTATTGATTTTATTTTATTTTATGTTGAGATTGAGAGATGAATCATATTAAGCTTGGGTAATCACCATTGTAGTATTGAATGCTAGATATAGATTTGAGAATCAATGAAATCAATCTAGGATTCCAGTAACTTAATGAACTTGGATCTATTATTCTTCAAATTGTTGGGTACGAAAGTTTAATAGGGAAAAGTAGGAATTCATAGCCTGAGAAGGTATGTTTGACAACTTAGAGAATTCGATTTACAATACGTGCATGTGAGTGTGAAAATAGCATAATCCGTAAAATTCATCCATAGAGTTCGAATGAAGTCAAAACCCTAACCTTTTGTTAAATTGATATTATTTTTGTCTTTAATTCTTGCCTTTATTAATTAGTTTTTAATACTTAGTAAGTTTTGTTTTAGTTTTAGTTTTAATCTCTCCCATTAATCCAAACAAATTTGGTTCCTCCAACTAGGAAAAACACTTAGGAAAATTAGTACTTAGCAATCAATCCTCGTGAGAACGATACTCACTCATCACTCTATTACTTTGTGCAACTAGTGCACTTGCTATCATTGTATGTTGTAGTAACAACACATCATTAATCACCATCAATATCTCTGCCCAAGCACCACTCAAACTCACTAGCACCAACAACTATATTTTGTGGGCACTCCAGTTTCACACCCTTTTTATCGGATATGATCTCTTTGGTTATATCGATGGATCGAAACCATGTCCAACCCCTACTATCACTACAAATGACACCACTATACCAAACCCAGCTCATACAATATGGATTCGACAAGATCAATTGATTCTCAATGTTCTTGTTGGATCTCTTTCTCCCACTATTATCTCGTTTATTGCTCGCGCCAAAACCTCCAAAGAAGCTTGGACAATCCTTGCTAACACCTATGCAAAGCCATCATGAGGACACATCAAACAGGTAAAGAACCATCTCAAGAAACTCTCTAAAGGTTCACAAAGTATCACTGACTTTCTTCAAATTGTGAAATCACGGGTTGATGAACTTTCATTCTTAGAGCACCACTTGATGAGGATGATCTCACAGAGAAGATCCTTGATGGCCTTGGTGATGATTACAAAGAACTTGTGCGTGTTATTCAAGCTTGAGACACCTCGATCACCTTTGATGAACTACATGAAAAACTTTTAAATTTTGAAGTATCTCTCCAAAATCAAAGTCAGAACCATTTTACTTCCCAACCTCAACAACAACATGGGTTGGCGTCCTCTAACTAACTCAGGCACCAAAAACCTCAATTGGCATCCACCACAGAATCTTGGAAACAGTAGTACGGACTGGCGCTCATCACCTTCAAACAGTAACCGCTCCCCCGCGTCCCCTTATGCCGGGCCAAACTCCTCACGAAGCGATTGACCTCCTTCATGCCCTTATCTTGGCTATTGCCAAATTTGTGGAATATAAGGACATACGGCTAAGAAATGTCCCTCCTTTCGCCTTATACCAATTTAGCCCTCCACCAATCCAAATGCACCAACAAACTCTCCGACCCCATGGCAGTCTCGGGCTCACTTCGCTGCAAACACCACCTCTCACACTCCACAATGGCTACTTGACAGTAGGGCTTCTCATCATGTCACTGTTGATCTAAACAATTTATCTCTTCATGTACCTTATTTCGATTCTGACGACATTATGATTGGTGATGGTTCGGGTCTTCCTATTACCCATACTAGTTCTACATCACTTACTACTTCTTCTCCTACATTTCATCTAGATAATGTCCTATGTGTACCAATCATGAAAAAGAATCTCATATCTATTTCAAACCTTTGCACATCTAATAATGTCTCTATGAAATTCTTACCCTCTTCTTTTCTTGTGAAGGACCTTTGCAAGGGGGCAATCCTTTTGAAGGGGTGTATGAATGGTCGGCTTTCTCTCCAATCTCCTCTCCATTATTCGCTTTCTCCAGTAATAAAACTACTTCATCTGAATGGCATTGTAGATTAGGTCATCTTGCATTTCCCATCTTAAAACATATTGTTTCTCATTATCAATTAGATATATCTTCCTCTATGTCATCTGATTTTGTTTGTAATGCTTGTCACTGCAATAAAAGTCATAAATTACCTTTTTTCACCTCCTCTCTTATTTCTTCTCAACCCCTTGAAATTATTTTCTCCAATGTATGGACCTTACCTGTTATTTCACATGATGACTTTAAATATTATGTCATCTTTGTTAATCACTTTAGTAAATATATCTGGTTTTATCCTCTTAAGCAAAAATCCAAAGTCAAAGATGTATTTATACGTTTTAAAGCCATTGTGGAAAAGTACTTTAAAAATGAAATTCAAACAATTTATTTTGATAGTGGTGGTGAATACATGGCTCTTGCTCCTTTCTTTGCGCATTTCTCATCTTACTACTCCGCTCCACACACCTAAACACAATGGCTATTCTGAAAGACGACATTGTCACATTGTTGAAACAAGTCTCACTCTACTCTCCCATGCATCACTTTCTTTAAACTTTTGGTCTCATGCTTTTGCCATTGCGGTTTACTTAATTAATCATATGCCCACTCCTACGTTATACTTTTCATCTCTCTATAAAACAATTTTTGGTTCTACGCCAAACTACTCGAAGCTTCACATTTTTGGTTGTCTGTGCTACCCTTGGCTTCGTCCTTATTCCACTCCCAAACTTAAAACTCGATCCAAACCTTGATCTTTCTTGGGTACTTTCTCACTCAAAGTGTCTATTTATGCTATCATCCTTCTACATCAAGAATGTTTGTCTCTCGTCATATCAAGTTTGTTGAGTCAGTCTTTCCTTTTCTAACTCTTTCCACTCCATCTCCTTATCCACAACCCGACATTATCTCCACTTGGATTCCTCCTAAGATAATAATTCCAACAGGTCCTGCTTCTTGAACACCATTCTCCACCTCATCTACAATTCCACCTTAAGGGCAGCTTTTGTGCGATGATCAATTAGCCTCTACCGTTACTACACCGTCGCTACCCACATCACCAATATTGTAAGAATCTCAATCCCCACCAACCACCTCTGAGCTTTCTACCGAACCTCAACCACACTGCCCTTACCAATTCCTCACAACCACCACCCATACACACTATGGTTACTAGAGCCAAAAACAATATCCGAAAACCAATCCAGAAACTTAACCTTTCCACTCACCTCAACCAAACCTGTGATGTTAAACCAAGCACCATGACTCAAGCACTCAAAGATCCAAAATAGCGTCAAGCTATGTCTGAAGAATATGATGCTCTTGTTCAAAATGGGACTTGGGAACTTGCACCTTTTATTTCTAGTCATAATATAGTTGGCTGCAAGTGGATTTTTCGCATTAAACGCAACTTTGATGGTTCTATTGACAGGCATAAAGCATGCTTAGTTGCAAAAAGCTTTCATCAACGTCTAAGAGCTGACTATTATGAGACATTTAGCCCTATGGTCAATTCACAACAGTTCGTATTGTTCTTAGCCATGCTGTTAGCCATGGGTGGTCTCTACGACAACTTGATGTCAACAATGTGTTCTTGCAAGGCCATCTCTCTGAAAATATTTACATCTCCTAACCTCCTGGTTTTGTTGACCCTAACTATCCCACTTATTTTCGCAAGCTTCGAAAAGCTATTTATGGACTTAAACAAGCCCCACGAGCATGGTACTACGAGCTTTGCAAATTTCTTATTGCTACAGGATTTCAAAACTCTCATGCTGACACCTTTCTTTTTGTTCTCAAAACTGGAGGCCATATTCTGTATTTTCTGGTTTATGTTGATGACATTATTGTTACTTGTGATAATGATGATCTGGTTCAACAATTTGTGCATTTACTTTCTCACCAATTTTCACTTAAGGATCTTGGAAAGCTATCTTATTTTCTTGGTATAGAGGTTATTCAAAATGCTAGTGGTATCTTGCTCTCTCAGAGACATTATATCATGGATCTTCTTGCTCAAACAAACATGATAGATGCTAAGCTGGTACTCACTCCCCTTCTTACCAGTCCTCTTATTACACTACAATCAGGTACCACACTCTCGAATCCTACAGAGTATAGAACTATTATTGGGAGCTTACAATATATACTAATCACACGACCAGATATAGTTTTGTTGTCAACAAACTGTCTTAGTTCATGCATAGACCAACTACCGAACATTGGATTCTTGTCAAATGCTTATTGTGTTATCTTTGCGATTCCTCTAATGATGACATTCAGTATTATCGTCATTCTCCACTTTTAGTACATGCCTTATCTGATGTTGATTGGGCTGGCAACAAAGATGATTTTTCTTCTACTAACGCTTATGTTGTTTATCTTGGGCAATGCTATCCAATATCCTAGAGTTCAGAGAAGCAAACGCATGGTTGCTAGATCCTCTACCAAGGATGAATATAGAGTTGTTGCTTCTACGACTGCTGAGCTCAATTGGGGTGTTCTCTCTGACTAAACTTGGTATTGTTATTCCTCATTGTCCTGTGATTTATTGTGATAATGTTGAGGCCACTCATCTGTGCTTGAATCCAGTTTTTCATTCACAAATGAAACATGTCACTATTGATTTCCATTTTATTCGTGATCAAGTTCAAAATGGCTCTTTACGTGTGGCTCATGTTTATAGTGCAAACCAGCTTGCGGATGCTCTTACCCAACCACTCCCCAGGTCTAGGTTTCTTTCTCTGTGCACCAAGATTGTCTCTTTAGTCGAGCTCCATCTTGAGGGGGCATATTAGAGAAGATGCAGTCAAGAGAGAATCAGTCAAAAAAAGAAGTAGTCAATGATCTTTGTTTTAAATTTGTATTTGATCTTCTTTTGAATTTGTATTTGGTTTTTGAATCTCTGATCTCTTATCTTTTACACTTGTATATAAACCTGTGATGTTGAATGAAAATACAAGCAGCCAAATTCCTTCTTCCTGCTCATTTTCTGCTTCTATTATATCTTCTAGAGCTGCAGCTCCACCTTGAGCTAGTTCAGGTGTCATGGTGTGCAAGGCATCACCTACCACTGTTATGTTTAATTTGTTTAGATGCCCTAACATTATGTTCCATGGGTACCTGAACATCAATGGAGCCCATGTCAATGTCGAAAGATTGGTTCACCGGACGATTTCTAAGTACAATGGAGGGAAGTTCTTGGCATACTTCTCAATTACTTCTCTTTGTATTAGTTCTGGATTTCCTGGCATGTATTCTCCTAAAATAAAAGAAGAATTTTACAAGATTGTATGATGAAATCATAATGAAAAAGTGTGAATATTACCTTTTTACGATAGACTTGTAATAGTAAATAGTGATTGGTATGCTTGTTGAAATTTGGGCTAAAACATAAATTTGATTGAAAATTAATTAGCGAAAAACTTGTAACATCAATGATGACCTGTAAAAAAGACACCAATACCTTTAAAGAATTGTAATTTAATCTAATCTTATACTATGTTTATCTTCATAGATAGTAGAAAATTGAAAATTTGCTAATGAATGAAGATTTTCCCAGTAAATTAAATCAGTGGAGAGAAAAACTAATGCCCATTACCTTTAGAAATAGATTTGAGTACAAGTGAAGAACCAATAGATCTCCTTATCACTGAGAGGAATAAATCCAGCCTTTATGCCCACGTCTAAATATTGCTAGAATTTGAGGCTAATCCCATGGCCCTTAAGGAACACACTCAAACCTCTCACCGCTAATCATCCTGCACTTACTGCTGCTCCAAGCCCTAACCATTGTGCCACCATTAAATGCACCCCATTACACCCTGTCAAAACCTGAACACCCCATAAATTAATAATACGATCTTATCAAACCAGTAAAGTGAGATGGTGAGACTGTCTCACATAAGTATTGCTAGTGACTCTAATGTGTAAATGATGAGGTTGCCAGTTTAATATAATGCTTTGAAATTAGTTTCTAGCTAATTGTATGGACCTAACTACTTCTTGTTAAATCAACTGATTTTACTGTAGTTTTGACAATGGTACCATCATCCAAATAAAGGATGGCAATGGAGGAACCTTCTTGTGTTTGTGTTTCAATGGCAGCAACATTGGAAGAGAAGCGAATAGAATCAATAGGTAGTTCATCGACCAACACTTTTAACAAGGTTTTCTGTTTTATTGTTCTGGGTTCACTTAAATCCTGATAAATTAGTTAAAAATAAAAAACAATGATCTTCATTGCACTTTGAGTTACAACTTACATGTCTCAACAATTAAGGGAGAAAAGAGAACAAAATAAAGCTAAGCGATCGTTAATGTAAACAAATTTACCTGTTGGCTGCAGTGAACGTGATTTCTTTCTTAGCTTCAGTTGCAAGATTGGTTATTATTGACCTAAATAATTATCATAATTAAGTATGTAGTTGAGAATACAATTTTGCAAGGAAACAATTAGGAAATCAAGTTACAATATCCCAATAATTGGGTTATAGTAAAATAGATTATTACTATAAAAAAACCAATTAATTTTACGAATAAAGATTATATTACGATACCTCTCCAATTATGATACTTAATCTTACTAATAAGAACAACATTAATATGGAAATATTTTTAATCTAAAGTCCTACACATTGAGACAATAAATATTATTCAATAAAAACAAATTATCATAAATCAAAGGAACATTAGAGAAAATAATTAGAAGAAATGCATCACCTCTTAGAAGGAGATTCACTTAAAGTTAACTTGTAGAAAACACCGAGAGCATCAAGGGAAAGCCAGTCGTTAGGCTAGAGGGTTAAGGCTGCTACGGCGACTCGAAGCTCCTTAGATCTTTCCAAAACCAAGGCCCGGATTCCTGCTCTCTTCAAGGCCACCGCCATGGCTAGCCCAGCTTTCCCTGCACCTACCACCACCACATCTTCCACCGCCATTTCTTGGATAAATAAATTTTAAAGGGTAGATTTCCAAGTTCCGAGGCCAAGTGTACTCATAGTTTTAAAATAAGTATCAAAATTATGCATTCGTTTTACATAAATACTTATTTTTTACTTTGAAATAGGCATAGTTTATTAAGAGTTAATGACATTTTGGTCCCTAAGGTTTGATGAAAGGATCAACTGTAGACGACTTTTTCCCACCCAAGGTTTGCCTTAATAAACTTTTCCATCCAAAAAGTTTCAAAATACCAATTTACTACCCAAAGTTTATATTCTAACCAATCGCCGGCCGATTCCGTCATCATTACAACCCACACCACCACTATTCTTTTCCTTAATTATCACTCATCAAAACCCTCAAACCTTGCTCCCATTAAACCAGTCAATCCCCGAAAATTGAGCGATTTATGGAACACACATCTGCCCCTCCCAAGTCAGATTTCGACCAAGTTTAACCACTGAAATCCAACTTGCTAACACTAAAAGACTCACCGGCATCCCCTCTTCAAAAGTCCCAAAAGCCTAGACCAATTTTTCTCTCCGTTCGCTATCAAATCAGAAAGTATATTATGGGTAGTAAACGAAATACAAACTTTGGGTGGAAATGGTCATTAAGGTAAACCTTGGGTGGGAAAAAGTCATCTACTCAAGAATCAATTAGGTCCAGTAAAATTAGAAAAGCCACTTCAATCCTTGTGAGACAAAACCGGTTACATTCTACTAAATGATGTAAGGGTATTTTTGTTCTATACAGATAACTTGTAAACTTTTTAATAATAATTCTTAAAATTCAACGGAAAAATACAAAAATTAAATTAAACAATCATCACTAGCCACAAAAAGGGGTGTAATCGAGTCGAGTCGAGTCGAGTCGAGTATCTGGTAAATCAAACTCGACTCAATTGTTGCAGTACCGAATTCGAGCCTGATTGAGCCTAACAAATCAAGTTTGAATTTGAACTCGGTACTTGAAGTTGGAAATCAAGTTCGAATTCAAGTTCGTATAATCGAGTTTTTTTCGAGTTTTAATCAAGTTTTAGTTGAGTTTTAATTAAGTTCGAGTTCAAACTCAATTTTGAGCTCATCTAACAGGAGTGGATTTTCAAATTTTCAAATTTTTAAATTACTATGACCCCTATTACTCTAAAAACTATTAGCTTAACCATTGAACTTAGAAATACTCGTGAACATATCGAGTCGAGTTCTACTATGATTGAACTCGACTCGATTGATTACTTGAATTCGAACTCGACTCGACTAATATCGAGTCGAGTTCGAGCCAATACCAAGTCGAGTTCGAGTAGCTCGCGAGCTACTTGACTCGATTTTCACCCCTAGCCACCCCTAAGCAACGAAAGAGTGTAAGGCTTGGGCTCTTCGGTTTGTAATTAGCCCAATTTCTTATTCACTTCATTTCAGCTCAGCCCAACCCCATTTAACACGTGTGCCACCAGCCCCTCGCTGTTGCTATAAATATTTTCTTATAAAACATTAAAGAAACTTATTTGATTTGATTGTTCTTCAAGAATCATCACACTTCACAACAATATGAAAGCTTAGTCTATTTTCTTTGAATTTCCCAATTCACTAGAGAAAGAAACTTTAGGCAGTTTCCCACAATCATAATCTGCAATCCTAATGATCTTGGTTATGAGAAACTTGTAAAAGATAGCTCTGAGGAATTTCATCCACCAATTTGACCCTGCTTGTTGAATCCACCCTGAAAAGTATGACCCAGCAACTATCCAAGACACACGCCATTTTCTTTCCTGAACATAACCATCTAAATCCTGAGCAATTGCCCCTAGAACAAGTCCTCCGTTTTTTATCAGTGAATTGCCAATGTGTTGACCCAGTACCACTGCATCTTCTAAAGCTACACAGCCACCTTGTGCAAGGTCAGGTGTCATGGGGTGCATTGCATCGCCGGCCACTGTGATGCTTCCCTTCCTTAAATAGCCAAACACAATGTCCCATGGATACCTGAACATCAATGGAGCCCATGTCAATGTTGAAAGATCGGAATGCCGGACCATATCTTTGTATATTTCAGGGAAATCCTTGGCATAATTCTCAAGTACTTCTCTTTGTAGCAATTCTGGATCTCTTTCCATCATTTCTCCTGAAAACAAAGAAAGACATGTCAAATGGGTATTTTTGTCACCTAATCCCAATCTGTAAATAGCAAGTGACGTACAAAATGAAACTGGAAGAATGCGAACCTTTGGGTGAAGATTTACAAGTGAGGAACCAATAAGCTTCCTTGTCATTGAGAGGAACAAATCCAGCCCTTATGCCTACATCTAGAAATTGTCTGACTTCTTCCTTCAAGCCATGGCCATCAGGAAACACAGCCAGTCCACGCACAGCTGATCTACCTGAATCGACTGGTGCTCCAAGTCCGAGCGAACGTGCCACGACGGAGTGTACCCCATCGCATCCTATCAGAATCTAATATCAAAGCGATAAATATTAATTAGGAACTAAAATTAAATCACATAATTAACAACGAAAAGATGGTAGTTAATTACCTTGGATTTGATTACAGTACCATCACTCAAATGTATGATAGGAATTGGAGAACCGTCCGGTGATTGTGTTTCAATGGCGTTAATATTGGAAGAGAAACGAATTGCGCCAATCGGCAACTCATCCGCCAACGCCTCTAATAAGGTTTTGCGATGAACTGGTCTTGGTCCTGCTCGAAAACTGTTTAAATAAGATAAGACGCCAATAGATTATTATTCTTTCTGAAACTTTCAGACATCAAAAAACCATTCTAAATCAAATATATTTAAAAAAAAAAATTATGTTCAAGAAACTAATTAAGCTCACCCGGTGGCTCCAGTTGCAGCATAGGAGAATGCTTGAGTAGCTCCAGTTCCAACATCGGTGACAAATCCCCTATATTATCACAATATAATTAATTGGTTTGATATATATAAATAAATAATTAACCAACAAAATTGTGTAGGGTTTAAGTTACGTCTTTAAAGGAGCATAAAGAGAAGAGAGCTTGTGAGCAACACCAAGAGCATCAAGAGCAAGCCATGCATTTGGCCCGAGGGTTAAGGCTGCACCAGTGGCTCGAAGGCCTTGAGATTTTTCTAAAATCAAGGCTCGAATTCCAAGTCTTTGCAGAGCCACCCCCGTGGCCAAACCTGCTATCCCTGCACCAACTATCACCACATCTTCCTCCACCATTTTCACCAATATCTCTCTCTTCTGTCTTTCTCAAAACTTTATTTATAGACAAACTATATGCAATTGTTGAAGAGTTTCTTCAGAGATTTTGATGTGAACAATGACTTTTCTATTCTTGGAGTTTTGGGGAAGGAGGAAGCAAAAATTGTTTAGTAAAGCCGTCATAGTGTCGGTGACGGTAGACAGTAAACGAACATGGTCACATGCTTGAGAAGAAGCCGACAGGATAGTGCTTGAGTATGAGATTTACTTTTATAAAGTTCTATTAATTGTTAATTTTATCCACACGCAACCAAACAATATTTGCTTCCCTCATAATCTTGAAGTTTACTCCGTTTAATATTACACGCCTCATTGTAGAAAGCGAGGGCATGGGCCTCTGCCATAAAGATAAACAAAAATCTACTAAATCCATACCTCCTATTCACTATTATTACTCTATTCTATTCTATTATTCTATTTTAAAAACTAAAAAATGATTTATTTCAATATTCTTATAATATAATTCTATTTTATTCAACTCTTAAAATACTAATAATTACTTTTTTCCATAAAGATAATCCAATTTAACTCAACTTTATTTTTTTTTTAAAAAAATTCTGGATTTGATCTGGTCAGTCACGCGAGAGTTGCATATGAAATTTTAATATTTCAATAATCTAATGTAAGCAATGACATCATGTGAGGACTTTTCTATACTTGGAAAAGAAGGATGTATGATTGAATAACAAATTCTTTATGAGGTTACTGAATAATAAAAAATTCCCATTAAATTTTAGATATTAAAATAAATGATTGAAGGGTATTATGATATATTTTTATTAATTTTAAGTAATATTTATTCCAACAACTCAATAAGATTTTTATTACTTTACTTAATAATTTGAGTTAAATTATTAAGTAAAAGAAAAGCCGCCATGATTGAGTCTGCGGAGAAGCGGAATCATTGACTGTTACAACATATTTGATATTTTATTAGAAGTTGACTTTTATAAGGTTATATTAGTTGTTGGTTAATATCATCCACATGCAACCAAACAATATTTGCTTCTTATTTTTATAATTAAAATTTTCGAAAGGGGTGAAAAAGAAATTTATTTTGGAGAGGATGGAAGGTGTTTTCGGAAAAATACTAATTTATATATAGCTTTGTAAGGAAATATTTATTGATTAAGAAAGAATGATACAAAGTATATTTGTAATTGTCTTATGTATTTATGGGTTATGGTCTTTATATATATATATATATATATATATGAACTAAATTTTATTTTTTCTTATAATGTGAGGGTTATGAAATTTGTATTAATAAATAAATGAGAACTTAAGATTACTATATTGATTTTATAATATTCTTTCTTAGCTTATTTGGAAATCTACTAAGTTTATAAAACTGAAAATTGTAGGACTCCATAAGATGTATAACCCTATTTTTAAGAAAAGGTTGACTAATTTTTTAAAAAAAATTAGTCACTTGTAGCCGGGTCAATCAATAGCTAGTTTCACCATTGTTTGAAATTATATATTGTATGAAATTCATGCAAATATTTTTTTTATTAAAATTATATATTGTGGGGTGTAATACTATGAGCATCTTTACTCGTAAAAACTTAATTGAAAGGCATTGCGTTTTTTATTTTTATTAATTATTTCAAAATACAATTACGATGATTCTACTAAAAATGTAATACAATGGAAGTTTTTTTATTGTACATAATAATTTGGGAGTTTTATTGTATTTATAATGTTTTATGATTGACTTTATGACATCTAATAACGACTAACCAACATAATTTTTAGTACAAATGAAGGTATCAATTCCTTGGTTGAGTGACTTCTCATATCCCTCAAAACTTTTGATTTTTAGTAAATTATGTTCCATAATAACAGCAGAGAGATTTTGTATATTGGAGTGCACATGACATTTATATATAGAACCAACAATCGTTGTATTTATAAACGTTAATTAGATTGTCATTTTCAAGCATGTTTATCAAGTATGTTCCATAAGCATGTTTATCGTTGTATTTATAATATCTACTATTTAAGAATCCATTTTATTTCAAATATTATTCCAACAACAGGTAAGGATCAGCTTAATTATTTTGTTCTTCTGATCCAAACTATATTTATTATACAATAAATAAATGAGTTTTTCAAAAATAACGAAGCTTATTCTGTTTTCTTTGGGTTGCCCAATTCACTTGAGAAAGGAACATTAGGCAATTTCCCACAATCATAATTAACAGCACTAAAGATCTTGCTAAAGAGTAACTTGTAAAAGACATCTCTCACGAATTTCATCCACCAATTTGTCCCAGCTTCTTGAATCCACCCTGAAAAATATGAACCTATGACCAACCAAGTTACGCGCCACTTTCTTTCCTGAACATAACCATGTAAATCCTGAGCAATTTCCCCTGGTACAAGTCCTCCGTTTTTTATTAATGAATTGCCAATGTGTCGGCCGAGTACCACTGCATCTTCTAGAGCTGAACAGCCACCTTGCCCAAGGTCAGGTGTCATGGGGTGCATTGCATCGCCGGCCACCGTGATGTTTCCCTTGCTTAACTTGCCGAAAACGATGCCCCATGGATACCTAAACATCAATGGAGCCCATGTCAATGTTGAAAGATCGCAATGTCTGACCATATCTTTGTATACTTCAGGGAAGTCCTTCACATAGCTCTCAAGTACTTCTCTTTGTATTGATTCTGGATCTCCTGCCATGATTTCTTCTGAAACAAAGATAGACATATCAAATGGGTCATTTCGTCACTTAATGGCAATCAGAGATTCTTGATACTTTACACATTTAAACTAATAGCAAATGATGTATAAAATGGAGCTGGGAAGAAAGCGAACCTTTGGGTGAAAATTGACAAGTGAGGAACCAATAGACCTCTTTGTCATTTAGAGGAACTAATCCAGCTCTTATGCCTACATCTAAAAATTGTTTTACCTCTTGCTTCAAGCCGTGGCCATCAGGAAACACAGCTAGTCCACGCACAGCTGATCTTCCTGAATCGACTGGTGTTCCAAGTCCTAGCCAGCGTGCCACAATCGAATGTACACCATCACATCCTATCAGAATCTAAAACCGAAGCAACAATTATTATGAGGAACTAAAACTAAATCACATAATTAACAACGAAAAGATGGTAGTTAATTACCTTGGATTTGATTATAGTACCATCCCTCAAATGTATGACAGCAATGGAAGAATCTTCCTGTGATTGTGTCTCAATGGCATCAATATGGGAAGAGAAACGGATTGCACCAACCGGCAACTCTTCTGCCAAGGCCTCTAATAAGGTTTTCCGATGAACTGATCTGGGTCCAGCTCCAAGCCTGTTTCATGGCTATCTAGTTATAAGAATAAATGAAACTGGTATTTCTTTTTAAACTCTCGACATCTAGAATCTTTCTTAATTAAATATTTTCAAAAAATTAAGCTCACCCGCTCTCTGTAGTTCCAGCATAGGAGATTGCCTGAGTAGCTCCAGTTCCGACATCGGTGACAACTCCCCTGTATTTATCACAATGTAATCAATCAGTATTGGATTATTTACACATTTTCAATATTAGACATATTTAGCCACTTCATTTTTGTTGCATGAAAAATCGAAACATCCACACAAGTTTCCTTGTATGTTATTACACCAATATCCCTTTAGGCAACATGGTTGGACATATGACTGAAAGATACAACTTGTAATTTGACAACCATTTGCTAATTTTACAATCTATAGGAATGTCATTATCATTTGCATGGTCACCATAATCAGCATGATAGCATAAGTCAGTGGCAATGTGTCAAAATAGAAGACTTTGATCAAAATATACCTCAATTAAAATTCATCAACACAACATTTTGGCCAGTGCATTATGACCTCTCTCCGCTAACAGATCTTTGCATAGCTTGGTATCAAAACTGTTTTCTTCAATTTTCTTGCTTGTGCTCCCCTGAAAATAATAGAAAAAGTAATTTGAGTTACTTAACTAACATATCATGGAAGGGGCATACCGCTTTTCCTTCTTGTCCTTGATCAATGTTGCCTCTGCACTTGAGTCAATAGATACAGAAACTGAAGCCCTGTATTCAAACATTACATTCTTGCTATCGATTTTATTTTTCAAGGTAAAATATTACAATTTAAATGGTATTAAAAGAGACTCCAACATGAATACAAAGGCCCAAACCTGCATATTGCTTGAATTTATAATTGCAACATCCCCTTGAGTTGTCTATCTACATGTCAACCGATCACAAGGTGAGAAGATAAAAGTTCTCATGTTAGTGTACACAAAATGTCTTCATGCAGTAAAAGCTAACAAAAGTTTATACATAGGGAGGAGCTTGCCATCGGCTGAAACATTGAAGGAAAAAACAGGCTCCTGGCAACTTGCATCAACCGTATCCACTTCCAAGAGCTAGTGTTCCATGTCACAACAGTTCCACCCTTGTCTATGTAAACTATAAAAGTTAATGATGGTTAGTGCATAAAACAGTGAAGTGGATAAGAGCATTTTTAGCAAGAAAAAGGATAGATCACTTCTCAATACTGAAAATTCACCTGCTATTGCAGCAGTGTAAAGAACACAATTCTGATCATTAGATGGAGAGAATCTACAACAGGCCAAAACTCATCCTGTATGAATTTAAAATGCGTGTAGTTAATTTGGAGCCCATGTAAAAGAGAATCAACTCCAATAAACAAAATAAAGGCCAAACAAGAGAAGGCTTGAAGATTTTCCTAAAAGAGAATCTCTCTATTCTATAAGCATGAAGTAGACATAAGTTCATGATACTTCTTGCTGTTGTTCAGATGGGAGCAACTATTAATAATATGATATGCTTCTGGCCGTTGTTTTTTAAGAAAAAACAAAATAGTGAACAACAATATGCACCATGACACATTTAGCAACAATTTCGTTAGATCTCCTTAACATGAGGCAACTTCATTAAATTGACCAAGATTGAGCTATGCCACCAAAAGCTAAGAAAACAAATGGTTTATGTAATATATTTATATGAATCATTGCCTACATTTTCCTTTGGTAGAGAAGCTACAACAGACATGGAGGTTACATCCCAAGCCCTACCAGGGCCACGATTTCCCAAGGAGACAAGAGATTTTCCATTAGGGTTGCAAGAGAACCAAGCCAAACTGTCAGTAGAACTAGATAAACAATAACAAAGCAGTGAATTCATTTTCTTTTCATCGAGCTTGCAGGTTAAGGCATTGAAACTTTAATTAATTTCTTAACAGAAGTATGACCTTCAGACACATTAAGAACAATTCCCAGGCTAGGCCACTTTAAAACCCGTAATCTTCCATCCTACACAGCACCAAAATCTAAGCATCTTATACCATGTTATTGTGTTAGAAAAAGACAACAATGTGGTCTTACTTATCATTTCACCACATCATAACTAAAGCGAAAACCATAGAATGCGTTTAGAGAATCATTAAGATCTAGGTACGAAATACTTGGGGTTTAAATTATAGGTGGTCATACATACCTGAGATCCAGGTACGAAATATTTGGGGTTTGAATTATAGGTGGGCATTCATATCTGTTTCTGGAATATAGAGTCATGAAGCATAGCTTATCCCAATAAACAATAGATTAAATCTTCCTTTTAACTATGGTTCACCAATAGGAAAGACTAGAAAGAACAGTAGACATTTGAGGTAGACATATTACAAGGCTCTTGGTCGTGTATCTACCCTATGGAGTAGAAAAGGGTGAAGCATACCAAAAAGATAAAAGGGAAAAGAAAACCCTAAAGTCCATGTAGCAAATGTATCTAACAAGGAAAGGGGTAGGATCCTACCTCACTACCGGCAGCAAGAACAGAACCCTTATAATATAAACTAATTTATAATTCATATTGTTTAATACAACCAAACTTCAAGAGGTGGTATTGAAGTAAATTTCAAATGCTTTTGAGACCAAATTCCTTCACAAGAAGCTATATAATTTGAGAATAAATGGAACATTGAAGAAGAAGACTCAACAGAACATTATTTAACATGCAACGAAATGAAATCTTCTACTGGGTTCCAATAATTTGTGGTGAACCCAAATAGGGATAGTTAGATCATCTATTTGTGATCCAAAAACCATTTTCAAAAACTAGATACAATTCATTTTTTCCAAATCTGAAACACGTTTGACAGTTCAAAACTGTTTTTTTTTTTTTGGGTAAATTGAAATAGTATAAAGAATGAAAGAATGATCCCCAAAGAAGAGAGTCTCTACAAGAGTTTATGCGTCCTGGACATTCCCAGGAACCAAACAAAAAACATTAGTAGCAAAAATACAAGCATTTACAATCCTGAAAACCAGTATAGAAGGATCAAGGAGATTCAGAGACTGTTATCAGTAATATTGAAAAATTAGTGACATCGCCAGAATAGAGAAAGGTAATTTCTGTAAATTAAGACCCAAAAAAAAAAGTGAAAAGGCAAAGTTCAATCCACAATGTCTTGAGAAAAATAAATCAGTATATTAAGTCAACAATGTACCTATAACCAAATACAAGACATATAAACAGGGAGAAAGAGTTCCAAACATCTAAATCATAGCTCATTAAACACAAAAATCAACAGGATTTTTAGGATCTACAGTATCAACACCTCAAATGTGAAAGGTCTTACTTTAATACTGTTTGCTGGTGCCCATCTGGGATTGCAAACAGAACAACAGGCTTTGAAGGTCTAGTGAATGGGACATCACATCTATAATAGCCCTTCCTCTCCAGCTGCAAAATCTCTCCATGTTTTAGATTCCGCATGTTACAATCTCCAATTGCTGGAGTCTCAATCTTTGTCCATGGGTTGAGCACATCAAGGAAGTCCTCCCCTTCTTTGAGCTGCATCCACAAACGTAACAAGCATGAATCAATATGTCAATTCATTTTTAGTACACTAGCTAAAACAAGTATATTTATGGATTATATGACGAATAATGCAAATAATTAGATTAACTAATAACTTCACATTAATACAAAAATACTGCAGGATTATAGAGTTTATAAAACAAAAATAACGCAATGAAAAGTTCTGATTATCAGTTTATTAAGTATACCTTCTTCTTCGTGATTAAAGGGTCAAATCCCATCAATGTGAGGTTAAATAATTCATTCGTTTCAAGTTTCGAATGTCAGCTTCAACTTTGTGGTCTCGACGATTCCTTCAAGGTGCAAAATACATGTTAGATGTGTGACAGTCCCACCTGGGTCCCTACTTCTTTCCTTCACTATGACATTCCCAATCCATTTAGCTAATTTACTCATCTACTAAGATGGATATGGCATCAGCTTGGTCTATCCATATCCTCCTTGTGTATGTTGTAGCTTTCTCTCTAGAACCATCATATTTCTTATGGCTAGGAATGATGTGAACAAATGGTTCAGCAGGACCATTGGTAAGGGTCAGAAGCACACGTCTCTCTTCAATTGGAACAATGTATCTAGGACACACAGGATAAATAATCTTCTTATTTATAGTACAAAGTTTGTCCCATTCCATGAGATTGAGATTTTTCAAAGCCGCCTGGAAAAAGAAAAAGGAAAAGGAAATTAGCATTCGTATTAAACAAACTATAATCATCTACCAGCATAACATTAATATATAACAGAAATTTCTTTACCTGTTCAAGTATAAACTGTGTCAAAGCCTCAACCTTCAGACCCTTCGCATTATTCTGATAGAACACCAGGCACCCAATTGGATTCTGGAGGGGTATTGAGGGCATTAACAAGGTTGTCACACAACTGTACGTGATGAGGAAGAAAGGGAACAATTAGATCGAGTGCTGAGCTGGGGATTGTTACCAGAATGAGACACGCGGCACCATCAAAGGGGAGCAGTTTGTTAGGACAACTGGGCTAGGAGGAATAAATTGTGGGAACTTCTGTAATGGGATAAAGAATGATTAGTGGTGTATTACTGGGAGGTTCCTAACACCTCGAATGGCTACAGTTATCTTTTTGCTTTAAATTTTCTTTCGTTTTGATCCTTACTGATTGTATTGCTATTGTATTGCTTCTTATATATCAGTAAATCAATACAGAAATATAGAGAGTTCATTCACTGTTGTTTGCATTCAGTTTGATTATCTCGTTACAATTCTAGTAAAATCCTTAGGTTCCTAACAAATTGGTATCTGAGCCAGTGTGGGTTATGGTGAAGACCAGAATGGAAGGAAGAATTGATGAACTGGAGAAGGATATGGGAAGTGTTAAGGAATATATCGATAGGATTAAGGGGTATCTCATTCATGGAGTTGAGGGAGTGGATACTATTGAAGGACGAAAAAGAAGAGAGTGGAAATCGAGCGAGGGATAAGGGTGATACAACTGAAAATCAGACGAAAAACGAAGGTAGTAGTCAGGGGCAATCGAGGGATAGTCAGACCAGTGGGGAGGATAGGAAGATAAAGAAACTGGAGTTACCTTTATTTAACGGCGAGGATCCATATGGATGGGCGTTTCGAGTCGAAAAATCGGTTTGCCGAAGGGGGGAAGGTGGAAGCGGCGGCGGTGTGCATGGTGGGGCGTGCTCTTAACTGGTACCAGTGGGTGGATTCGTGAGCTCCGTTTCCAAACTGGGGAGCTTTCAAAACGGCCTTAATAGAGAGATTTCGGCTGTAGTATAAAGGTTCGACGTATGAGTCATTGGTGGCTCTGAAACAAAAGGGGATGGTGACTGAATTTCGTGAACAGTTCGAGATGCATACATCGCCTTTGCGTGATGTGGGTGAAGAATTGCTAATGGGAACATTTACAAATGGGTTGAAGAGGAGATTCGGACTGATCTGCGTTTGACCCGGCCCAATACAATTGCAGTAGTGTAAAGAACATAATTCTGATCAGTAGATGGAGAGAATCTACAGGAGGCAAAAACCTCATCCTGGATAAATTTAAAAATGGATGTAGTTAAAATGAGTATGCTGCTTCGTTTTCCTTAAGGACAAAAGGGTTAACTAAAATATATAGATTTTTTTATATACATTATTAAATGTGAATATGGAACTGTATATCCTTGTGATGAATAAATGGTCTATCGAGTTAGTAAGTGAAATATGAGTCTGAAAACTATCTTCTGACTGGAACTGAAATAATTTAAAATATATTTGTATGAGGATGAATGCTTACTTTCTTTTTTCCCTATTTGTTGACAGTATATGGAATACTTTGTACATTTCTTTTTATATAAAAACTAATTATGGGGCCAAATCCCCGTAATGTTTTGTGCTGCTATACTTAGCCTTGATGTAATTAGTAGCTTTATCTTTGTAAATGCAGATACCGGCCTCTTCTTCCTGCTGATCAAGTGAAACCGTGGAATGAAATTGAGGATGAAGGAGGTGAATGGACTTCTTTTGTCTATAACTCTGAAGTCTTTACTTCTTGCAAGAGTTGATTTTATATGCTCTTTTGTATGATCTCAGAGGGTTCACCAAGGACACGAGGCAGGGGGCGTGGTGGCCGAGGAAGGGGCAGGGTTAGAGGTATGACTCTCTACTTTTGGACAGTTACTCAAATCACATCATGTTATATGCTTCCAAAATGGATTTATATTTACGTTCATTACAAATTGTATATTGCAAGTTCTTTTGTAAATAGAAGCTGGAATCAATGTCACAAAAGCAAAACAGGGTTAAAGTATTGAATGTTTTGAGCTTGTTATTGTATTTGATTTCAGAAAATCTGCTGCATTCACGTTTTCAAGAATTTGAGTATTGTCGTTCATTTAATCAGATAAGAAAAAGGTAAAAAAGGGGTTTAAATCTCATGACCTTTTTCCTTTATTGAAAAGCTCTGCTGATTATTTGGAGGACATTTTGCTTCTATTATGTACATATTTGAAAGCTAAATATAATAGTTGATCTGCTCATTAAATGTGTTAAGTAAATTAAAGTTCATCTAATATGAGCTGAGAGGGGTTATATGTATCAAGTAATGCATAATATGATTTAAAAAAGTTCCTTTGATTTTTAAACAATTTTTGTAAAGAACCAATAGGTTTCATTAATCTCTTCTTGTGTTTGCACTAAATAATCAAGTATTTAGCGCTTGTATGTAGCAATAGCCACTTGCTCAGGTCGTATCTTAGTCCCAAAAGCGTTGTTGTTCAGTAATGTTTATGAGGCCTTTAAAATGTTGCTTTGCTTTAAGTTTTTTTTTTAAATTTATTGAACTGTCTCTTTGGATTTGGCGGCCAAGAGCATTAACCTCCCTTATTTTGAGCTTTGCTTATTCACTTGCATAGTTGCTGATGCTGATTCTATCAAATAAATGTTTACTTGGGATTTTGCAGGGGGTGGTCGTGGAAGGGGATGGGGACGTGGGCATGGGCGTGGTCGTAATCCCAGATCAGCAACAGCTGCATAAGTAGGGAAAAGTTGCTTAGAGTATAAAATAATGTGTGGGGTTGAAAAATGATGAGTGGATGCCTGCTCTGCTTGTGTTTACATGAAGTTTGGTGGTATTTACGGGCATTGTCTTTCATTTCAAATTGTGAAGTTTGGCAGCGTAGGAACATTTTCTTAGTCATTCAATTTTGAAAAGTTTTTTACATAGTGACTTAGAAGATTGTACAATTTTTTTCCGCTTTGTTCACAGGAATAATAGAGCAGTACATTCTTTCATTCTTAATATAAATACATGTCCCATGCTAACTTTTTTTTTTTTTTTTTAATCAGTATTATTTTGGCATTTACTTGTTGATTCTAAACTTATCGTTCTAATTATGAGCATTTTTCTGCCCCGTCTCTTGAATCATGAAAGCTTAGCTGGGAATTCTAACAGGATTGTAAATTTCTCAACTGAATCTGGTTTCATGGCATTTCTCATTGTTAGACTTGAATGGCTGGCCTTTAATATTGACAATACCTATGGTGAAGTTGCATATTTCTAATGGTTTGTATAAAGGGTCCGTTTGGTCTTGTTTATTCGGATAGAGCTGGGAATTAGAGTTTATAGAAATACATATACTCTGATGGTTAATTGAGAGATTGAATTGTATAAATTCTATGAAATATTAATTATTAGTTATACATTTACACAACAAAAAGAAAAAAGAAAAAAGAAAAAACCAATATAAAAAGTAAGAAGAGGACTTGAAAAACAAAAGGGTGTCAATGGAACACTTGCAGAAAAAGAAAAAGAAGAATGCGATGTAACAAATTGCAACGCCACCCTTCAATCAAAAAGAAAGATTCTAAAGCAGGATCGAATATCTTCTTTAATGGTGCTTTAGAATGGAGTTCAAGTCAAGCAAATGATAACTAAAGGAGAAAAAAGAAATTAAAAATAAACCAAAAATCATATACCTTGCTTTCGAAATGTATCTTACCACAAACATAATATGTGTAATGCATGTCTATAATAGATTCTTTACTTCCATCTTTGAGCTTGGGATGATATTATATAATGAAGTTATTAACACAAGAAAGATCCATGCTCTAAATATCATCTCATTCACACTTCTGTTCATACATATATATGATTCCATTTTTACATTATTTAATCCTCCAAACATTCACTCTATCGACAACCATTTGTTAATTCACAAATCAACCGGCTGCTCCATTTGCTTCACAAGTTTCTGGTGCGGACATATCTTCTCATTCATTAATTTTTATTATCATCTTGTATTGGATCTCTCTTTACTTTGAACTACTGCTCTTCTAAATTATCAGTCTTTTGTGTTAAAACTACAATGGTGATGCCTTCCTGTTAGTTTTAGTCCTTTAAGTGGACGATTGACTGGAGTTACCTTTTGAAAAAGACTATATTACTCCTAAAGATTTATTAGATAAATATTTGTAATTTCATTATTTCTTCATTTTGGTTAAAAAAAAAAAAAAAACCTTTAAGAGTGCGAAATTTTTTTATTCTAAAACATTAAAATTTTTCTATCAAAAGATTTGAAAATTTTATAAATGTTGAAGAACATTTTTAAAAATCTAAAGAAAATTTAAATATTAAACTTTCTTTTTCAAAATACTTGAAAAAAATCTTTAAAAATTGATAAAAATGAATTGCTAGTATAATTTGAAGAGATCACATTAACGCATTTTGTCCAAATCACTCAAGTCGATCTAGACAAATCGTGGCACAAATTGAGATCATAACCACAATCTAGGATAGATAAAATTTTCAATGGGCCAAGTTCAGGAGTTTTTTTTTTTTTTGTCAAATACATACATTTTTTTTTATTAGAACTTTTTTTTTTTCAAAAATTGTGTAAAAAACCTAATTGTATCTTATTACAGTTGAAATCAATAGTTAAAAATAAGTTGAGGGAATGTTCAATGTCGTTTTAAAGTTCGTGGGGTCAACTAGTTTCCTAAGCTTTTGGGGGGTGTATAGTAGTTGCCCTTCGGGTGTGTTCGGTTGAGAGTTATATAAGATTACTGAGGTAATGTCATTTTATATTATTTAATTATCACGTTTGGTTGTCAAGTAATATAAAATTCCAGTAATCTTCTAATACTAATAGTAGTTACTATTAGTAATATAAGAAGTACTCTGATTACCTCAATTTTCAAGATATTTTAAGATTACTAAGTAATCTTATTTTTGTTACAATTTTATCTTTTATTAATAAAATTTTAGGACAATAATGCTCTTGTTTTAAAAACAATTTACAAATATACCAATTGACTATTTTATTTTTATATACAAAGTTTTTAAAACATAAATGCTCCTTAAATTTTAAAAAAATTATCCAAGGGTGGTGGCTAGATCTGGCCACCACCACCAACCGTCGATAACCATCTCCAATGGCATAGGAATGGCGCACGACTGGTGGCCAGCTGTGTGCCGATAAGGCTGGAAACACCAATGGTTTTTTTTTTTTTTAAAATTAAAAATTTTCAACTACGTGCAGCTTGATTTGAAAAGAGAAGATTGATGGCCTCTCAAAGTTTTTCCAGAAAAGTCATCCAACTTTGGAATGGATATGAAGTTCGATTCATGGTTTTACTTGGTCTTTTGTTACAAATCATCCTCATTATGTTTGGTTCTCAGCGAAAATATAGAAGAAGAATTTGGATAAATGTCCTTGTTTGGTTGGCATACTTGACTGCGGACTGGGTGGCAACAGTTGCCCTCGGCATCCTTGCTCGTAGCCGAGGACATTCCGAAGATAATTCTTTGCAATCAAACAATGTACTTCAGGCATTCTGGGCACCATTCCTTCTCTTGCACCTTGGTGGTCCAGATACCATCACAGCTTACTCTTTAGAAGACAATGAGTTGTGGTTAAGGCACTTACTTGGATTTGTGATCCAAGTTGGGGTAGCATTTTATATTCTCGTACGATGCTACTGGGACAACAATACAACTTTTATATTCCTAGCCATTCCAGTATTTGTCATTGGAGTAATCAAGTATGGAGAGAGAACTTTGGTGTTCTGGTCTTCAAGCGCCAAGCAACTTAAAGATTCTTTGCGTTCACCTACTATTGAAATCGACAAAGATTATGATGAAATCGTGGAACGAATTGTCGAAGGAGAGTTGTCAAAGACAAAGGAATCAACGACAATACAAGCTGTATCAAATGATGAAAGCATTAAGCCAAAGGATTATTATATTGTTGAGGCCAGTATGTTATTTCGGAGATTAAGGTGTCTCTTTGCAGATTTGGTTCTCAATCATGATGACAGAACAGAGAGCTACTCCCTCATTCACAATAAGCCACAAAAAGATGCCTTCAAATTGGTGGCTGTTGAGTTTGGATTCATGTATGATGTGCTCTACACTAAGGCAACCACAATTTATTCCAGATTAGGAATTTTTCTTCGTTGCTTCTGCTTCTTCTCCCATGTTTCTGTATCAATTGTCTTCTTATTTGCTGTCGATAAGCATGCCTATTCACCAATTGACATCTCCATAACTTATGTACTCCTGCTTGGTGCTGTTTTTCTGGACCTTTATGCATTCATCGTGCTTCTGTTATCTGACTGGACAAAACTTTGGTTGACCAAGCATAATTTTAATTGCCATTGTTTACTTTTGAACAACAGCAAGAGGTGGTCAGAGTCAATGGGTCAGTACAACCTATTAAGTTTGTGTCTAAAAGACATCTCATCCAAAACTGTTAGAGCTTGCAAGTTATTTGGCATCAATGAAATATTACAGAAATACCAGTATTTGACTTGGGAGGATGTGAATGTCGACCTACAAGAAATGATTTTTGAGAAGGTCCGAGAGAATAGTAAGAAAATTGAAGGTGGTCTTTTTAATATCAAGCTATGCAAAGAATTGTTGGCTCAGAGAGGTGATTATGCGCTTCGCCAAAACTCTTGTTTTAATGAATTTGGCTGGAGTACGATTGAGGTAGAATTTGATCATAGCATTCTTCTTTGGCACATTGCGACCGATATTCTTTATTATGTTGACTATGGTGACAATACAGATGATAATAGAATTCCGATAGGCTGTAAAATAAGCAAGCGGTTATCAGATTATATGTTGTATCTTTTAGTCATATGTCCAACCATGTTACCCAAAGGGATTGGTGAGATAAGGTATAGGGAAACTTGTGGAGGGGCCAAGAGATTTTTCGGAAGAAAAAGGAAGCGGCAAAGTATTTCAAGAAATGAGGCCTGCCAAATGTTGCTTGAAGTGAATACTGATGGTTCACTACTGGAAGATAGTAAGGAGCATATTAAGGGGGGTCGAAGTCTATCTGTGCTATTTTACGGGTGCGAACTAGCCAAGCAATTGCAGGAATTGAAGTCCGGACAATATGGTTGGAGTCATGAACAAGTATGGAAGATGGTAAGTGAAGTATGGATAGAAATGTTGACATATGCTGCAAGTCATGGTGGGTGGAAAGAGCATGGGCAACAACTTATTAAAGGCGGAGAGTTGCTTAGTCATGTACGTCTTTTAATGACACATTTTGGCTTAAGTGATCAATATCAAATCCAGAAGGAAAGTGTGGACGATCCAGAAGGAAAGCATGGGCGAGTATATGAGGCGAGCCGTGGGCGAGTATATAAGCCGAGCGGTGGGAGAGTGGTGGGTGACCGGTTTCCCTTGGTTTAGTAAATGTCCAAGTGCCTAGTATATAAAGGAGACTGATTTTGAACATGAGAGGAAGAGAAAAGGCGTAGAGAGAGGAGAAAGGAAGAAAAGATGGAGAGAGAAGAAGACAAAGATGTGAGTAGAAAATTTGATTTCATAACAAATGATTTTATGAATTATATTTAGTTAAATTGCGTTTAAATTTTATTTAGATGTATTGAATGTCTATAGCAAATGTTTAGTCTATGTATATTTGTTAGTGCTGAATCTTTTGGAATTTTTTAATAAATTCATGGTAGTTAAATTTAATGATATTTAATATTTTTCTGAGTGTGTTGCTCTACTAATTTTTTAATATTTTTGGAATTACATTATATATTTCGTTTTTGAGTAAAGTCTTTAAATGTTTTTAATATATATATTCAATTGTCAAATATGTTGAGTATTTTAGAGTTGAAATGGTTGATTGCAAGAACTTAATTATTTTCTAGCTGTTGCTAAAATATGTTTCAGTGGAATAAATTAATTAATCTTGGGTTAAATATGATTAGGAATTTTGTAAGTTTAGTTAGCACCAAGTTTCATTTCTGGGTACCATGGTTTAATGACTTTGAACTTTAGGTTGTTTTGGAATAGGGTTTATCTTATTTTTCCCATTGTGAGATCGTTTAGTACTAACTCATCCACTTCTTTTAAAAATTATTAAAAACACCCCTGTAATTATCATAGGCCGCCCTACAAGTGTCAAACACCCTGTAAGGCTGTAATTATAAAAAAACTACACTTGGCAGTTGGCAAAACATGATGGACCTTTTGTTTTTACCCGTATCCGCCCGGTCTTTTTTTTTTTTTTTGGGTGAGCCGGGTGTATATGCGGATACCTGTGTAAAAGTAAAAAAATTAACCTAAATAGTAAATCCCTAATTCCTAAATCACTTTCTTGTCTCTTCCATTCGACAGTATTCGACCGGAAAATTTTCTCTGTAAAACACAAAAGTCCTCTGCTTTATCTGAACAAGTTGATGAGATCTGATTGCTTTTAACTTTTAAGTTTATCCTTCCTATTTCTTTGCTGTAAGTTTCTGCAAGTTCTTGGATTTCTTAAATAAGTAGCATATTGTTCTCTCTCTCTCTTTTTTTTTTTTTGGGGGGGATTTATTTATTTATTATTATGGGAACAATACTTGTTTTATTGGTTCGGTTTAGTTTTCTAGTTGGATTATTGTTTCTTGCTTTGATAGAAAATGAATGCTTGTATCTTTGAGTATAATGGCAACCCAAACAGGTCAATTTGGAGATATTTTCAAGTTAATTGAGTTGGGTTTTTTAATCTTAACCCAAATTTCTATTTTTCATATGGGTTCTGTCAATACTCAATATATGAGATTATATCAGTTTCCCTCTACGTTGAGATAAAAATGTTTAGAAATTTTTAGTGTCCTATAATTTATGCTACAATACTATTACTAGGAAGCTCTGTTATCCCCAAGGGGTGGATTTAGTGGTAAAAGCCTTTGGTTTCAGCTAAGAGGTAAAGGGTTTAAATCCCTTTAGAATTTACTTAATTGTGATATTATATCCCACATATTTTCTCGCTCCTAAGGTTGTTATTTGTGTTTGTTTTCTGCAAGGCTTTGTTTGTTTTACAGGAATGTGTTTTGTGACTTAGAGATTAAATGTTATTTGGTGTGAAATTACCTTTAGTTGAGTTCATATTTTCTGTTCATACATGGCAGAAATCCAGTTCAAACTGTTTTCAAATGGAAGGGAATGTGTATTATTGTATCATTAACGTTTTATTAGATTTAACAGGAAAGCAAGAAAAAGATGTTTATAAGGCGGGAATCAATTTTATGGGATTAGATAAGTTATTACTTCAAAATTTTGTATTATAAGTGATAAATATTTAAAACCCAACCCGGGGTGAAACCTGGCAAAGTTTCTGGGTCTCGGGTTGACCGGTTTAACCGGTTTGACCAATGACCGGTTGACAAAAACTTTTAAATTCATTCAAATACGCCCCTAAAACTTACATTTAAGCCCCATGTGTTTGAACTTTATCAAACGCACCCCAAATACAAATCAACCGGCGACTGATTGGCGGCGGCGGCACCTCAGATGCAACCCCAATCATCCCTTGAGCTCATTTCCATTAAAATCTACCCAATATCTGGCCGAAATTGGTTCAATTTCGGTCAAATCTCACCGACGCCGGCGTTGGCATTCCAGGCTAGATCTCATCCACGCCGGCGTTGACAACCCTCCCCATCACCCAGAAAACACTCCCTTATTCCTCCCGACCAAAACCCAGCTCACCCCACCCCCGTTAGCCTCGCCAATCGCCGGCAAAATTCCATTGTTGTCGCTGCCATATTTATTCGATTTCCGGTCGATTTACTCACCGGAAATCAACGTCGTCACCACCATTACATTCAGCGGCACTTAGTCTTCAAAAGCCTCAACCTTCCGGCCGTTGATTGTTCGCCGATCATCCTCCCAAATCTTAGGGTTTTGGGGTGAATCGGAAAAGTTAAACCTGGCCCGTTGAAGCCTCCGAGTCCCGATTCAATCGGTCGGGCTGGGTCGGGTTTTAAAACACTGATTTAAAATTTCCAAAATAGAGGGAAGTTAAAGTAATCTAATAGGCGTATGAGTTATTAATAAGAGCATAGGAATATACGATTTTGAAAAGCAATGATTTGCTGACTTTGACAACCTTCTAAAGAGTAAAGAACATATTGAATTTATTTAATTTTTCTCGAATATTGTTTGTTCTATGTTGAATTTATTATTCTATGTTGAATTTATTATTTAATGCAATCTGTCTCGTTTTTACTAGCTCATGAAAACAAATTTTATTCTAAAGTAGCCAATGCAATTAATTTCCAACTTATCTTTGTTCAGGTAATCTCGACTCACGACACAAGCACATGGAGTCGTCTCAGTCTCTATAGTTGAACAATGCCAAGTTAAATTTATTTTATGTTTTTGTATTGTAATTTTGTGTTTGTGTTATTGTGTTTGTATTTGTATTTGTATTTGTGTTTTTGTGTTTATGTATTTGTTTTTTATATGTTTGTTGGTAGTGGTTTGTGATGTTAAAATCATTGTTTTAAAAATCAGACCGGAGGGCAACCTGCTCTGATGGCCGGGTCACGGTTCCGGTTGGACCGATGACATCATCACATATCATGATGACAGCAGCACATTTTAAAATTTTTTTTTTTTTTTTTTTAGATTTCTATTTTTTAATAAGATAATAACAACTTAATTACTGTCTAACATAATTCAAAGTTCAAATTCAACAACAATTCCAACATAATTTAAGTATTTAACAACAATTCAAAGTCCAAATTCAAATATGATGTTGTATTTTATATATAGGTTTGTTTAAGAAACTTCTATATATGATTGGTCGAGTCTTAATCTCATAACATTTTATTAGATTATGAATGATAGACTATATTTTAGTATATGTTATGAAGATTTGTCGTTTGTTTATTAAAATTCTGGTAATTTACATAATCAAATCACTCAGATTTATGATATATTATGGGCATTCAAAAATTATTAGGACCAATATTTTGGTGCACATTCATGTGGCAATTAATGGGCAGAGTACATTAAGCAATGCAAAATCCTTCAAATCCAACTTAATGCACTCTAGAAATGCTTGGAATCATATTAACCAAACAATTTTTTTTACAGTACCACCAATCCTCATAAACATTATAAGTCTCCAATTCAAATCAAACTTTCTGATGATATATACTTACACATGAACCATCAACTTAATAACCTAATTCTCCTCTTGATGTGAGCAGAAACAAAATTCATATATATTTACACCTGTTCATATTTGAGGTGGCTGCTCTTGAGAAATAAAATTCAGACAGATCATATTGTAGTCATGCAACAAAAGTTACAAGTATCCACTTCCTTTGCAGCTGACACTGAAATTTCTGGTGAAGAATACATCCTAGATATTTGAGAATTAGGGCTCCTTTGTATGCTTTAAACAAAGAAATTCAATGGGACATTGGACAACTACATAATACATGCATTTCCCCAAACATCAGTTAAGGGTAATTATAGAGATGCGACAAAAAGATAAAATTTAGATATTAATTGTCAAAGTAGAGTTACAGCTACTCAATAAACAAACTAACTCAAAAATAAACACAAGCATCGCGAATTAAATGCCTCCAGCCACAGCATTGTGCCTAGGCATAGTTGATTCTGCCCTAGAACTCACAATCTTAACAAGACGGTGGTTTTTGAGCATGATAACATTCGAATCTGATCAAGTGGTAAACATATGAATTGTACCCCTTTGAATCAGCTTTCCAACAGTTCAAGAATCATCTCAATCCAAGATCTGTAGCTCAAGTTATTGTCTAATTACTGTTGCATGTTCAAAACTGGAGCGTTTTCCAGGATTTTCACTTTAACTTCAATTCGCCCTAACTTCTTCGTTTCAGCTCCGAATCATGAACCATTTGATTCTTGTCATCCCACATTCCATCGTTGATATAACCTTCATCTGAGTATCATCTTTAAGAACCTGAAAACACTCGAAACATCGCCGTGATCCCATAAAAGACATTTATGAAATAATTAAGTTAAATTTCACAACTTAAACATATTTTTCCACAAATAATCTAATTGAATCACTAACAAAATATGTGTTTTCAAGCTTTTATCAGAAAGAGAAGAAGATGAGAAACAGAGAAAGGGTTGTGTAGCGTATTAGGGATTTAGGGGTTTTTAAAATTTCGACTGGTTTATCCACGGGTCCGGTTGGACCGGCGGTTTACTGAAATTATCCGGTTTTCAAACGGTTTAAAGCGGCTTATTGTATTATAACGGTTTTGGGGTTGACTCGAACCAGACATGTGACCGATTCCCGGTCCAACCGGTTGGACCGGCTAGTCCGGTCCGATTTTTTAAACAGTGGTTAAAATATGTGCGCATTTTAAATTGATGGGAAATTGAGTTGGTTGTGTGTTGAATTGAATTGA